CTTCCATGAGGCCATCAATGCAAGGACACAAGCCACAGCTGTATCTGGCTTACATTTGCCCTCCCCATCAGATTCTACTTAAGATGTTTACCCTGCAGTGGGAGCAAGAGGCCTAACACAGGCCACCACTAAGGAAGGAGTGGTCTTTCTCATGGCAGAAGGGTAGTGTTATGAGCTTACTCCGTCCCCATGAAACCCTTCCACCCTTACCATCTTTGTGCTTCATTAATCATCTGCAGAGTCCCTAGGGTAAGCACCTGTGAATCACGTTGCATCCAGCTCCCATAGTTACAATGTAGGGCACATCACTGAGATGCTCTAAGCAAATTGAATTAAGACCCCAAACATTGATGGCTATTGTAATGAGTCAACAGATAGCCCAAAGAAGGCCAACTCTTATTTATCAGTTCCCTTACAAAGTATGTGCTTTCTATTTTCACAGTGTCCAGACAGCCACCCTGGACACTGCCCTTGTTTCAAAGACAGAAGAGGGTCCAATTGGTAGTGTTCACTGTAGCAACACCAGCTCTGGCTGGAGATCAAGGACAAAGGAAATTCTGAGCACAGCCAGCAGGCAGACTTACCAGAACCATGGTCTTGGCCACTAAAAGCAAACAAAGAAACAAACAAAATTCCTGTTACTGAGAATAGTGCTAGGGGTGATAACAAAGATGTTAAATAGGTACTGGTAGAGGCAAATTGTGATTACCAGGTGGAATGCATGCACTAACAGGGTCTTGAGAAGATACAGTGATGCGGAGGGGCGTGTCCTGGGCAGATGTCACAGGCTCTTAGGTTGCCAAACCTGAGCAAGTCCGTTATGTACTGCGCTAAAGGTAGAATTCTGAATTGCCAGGAGAGATCACCATGGTTCCCTTCGGAATAAGTGTGCTACCAGGGAGATGGTAGTATATAGCTTTATTCCAAGTGTCTAAAACTTGAAGGTTTACAGGCCGGTTGTGTGTTATGTTCTTGTCCCAAGGTGTTGGGATGAGCACCAGCGTGGTTCCACCTGCACCTGTCTGAGAGTATGTCTACCTGGTTCAGTATCTACCAGAGCTGGAAGGAGCAAATTGTTGTCTATATCCCCTGAAGGTCCCATGTTGGCTTTTTGGGTTCTAATTTGCTGCCATCTAGGGGCTGCAGCACGGGTGCTGGCAGTCCTCAGGTCCTCTTTTCACCCCCTCCGAGATCTCCATCCCATAATCTTTATGCGAGGTCTGGAGAGGAGGGTCTGCTCTGGCTGCTTCCGCTGTGTTAAGGCATTGTCCTTTCCTAGTCAGGGAAAGCAAAACCCTTGCTAACTGATCCCTAGATTCAGTTCAAGGAGCTAGAGGTTCACCAACAACTTGTGCCAAGGGCTAGACTCCCTAGAAGAATAGCACTTTTACATGAAACCATTGAATTCTGATAAGGCCTTCACTCAGGATGCAACTTGTCAGAGAGAGATCTTTCTCTCGAAGATTTTTGTTTGTTTTTAAAAAAACAATACAAAGATAGATCTCCTGGGGGAGATTGACTGGCTCATGATTTTTTGATTCTAGCACCAGAAGAATCTTGTTGCACCTGATAAAGTCCTTTTTGATATTGAGGATCAAAGAGGAAACCAGAGGCGAGGAAAGGCTTCCCAACAAACATCTCCAAAGGGCTAAGCTAGAAGGTAGCCTCGAGTGCCATCCTCAGCCCGAGTTGGACCATAAGCAATAGCTTGTTCTAGAGGCTGGGGCGTGAGAGCTGTTCTCTGAACCTGCTAAGTGGTAGCCCGTGTTTTTTCCAGGCTGTCCTGCCTTGCTGCTTGTAGCTCTTCTCGGTGGGCGTCCCACCTTGCTGGGTTTCTTCTGCAGCTCCCCAGCACAGCCTCACTACACATTGCTTCACACCAGGGCACCAGCCCTGCAGCACAGTTCCGCCTGGCCTCGCAGGGCCCCTGTTGACATCTCAGTGGAAGCTGCCACACCCCCTAACTCTTGTGTTTTGTATGCTTCAGCACCGTAACCACATGGACAGTGCCAGTATATGTCACCAACAGGGAGCACTCCTGGAATTTGCTCCTGAAAGGGCTCCTCCCCCCGTGGAGGTCTCGGCAGCAGACCTGCACTTCTGTTCCTCATTTCCCGGTGGTGGGTGGGCAGCCTCAAAGAGGTGGAAGCACCCTGGGTCTGTCTCCCATTGCTTCACCTAGTAACACAGGTCTGCCTTTTACTTGAACTTATGATTTAGCTAGAGGTTTCTCCATGACGTTTTTCCAGTTTTTTAAGGTTGAGTCCATGGGAATGTATGGGGAGTTACCCATGGCCAGAAAAGCCTGTTTGTGACCTAGGGAGAGGGTGGATTGGTTCAGACCTGGCATTCCAGATCTCAACCAGATCCGAGACGCCTGGGTGTCCTCAGGCTCCTTCGCAGGAGTGCATGGGGTCAGTCAGGAACTGGTCTGAACTGGTCAGGTCTGAACTGTAACACCTCAGCCAAGCAGCAGCCTGCTTGGTGTTTCACAGTCAGCCTGCCGAGATCTGATATGACCGTGCCTAAAAGTTACCCGTTGAAGGGAAGTTTAAAAGGCATAAACAGAGCGGAGAGCACTAGGAGCAAGGAGGAGATCCTCCAGGCAAAGAAACCACGGCTCTCAAGCATGAAAGAGGTGAGAGTCAGAGAAACTCGCCCAGTGAGGTCTGATGAGGATTCCAACTCCTGCTCCAGGCTCTTCGCTGACTCATCACGTCCCAGGGTGGCTCCCAGTGAACAGCAAGCTCAGCATGTGGCCATCAGTCCACTTAGGCAGCCTGCAGGGGAGAGGGTTCTACTGGGAGAGGTGCTGTCACGGTCGCCCCTTGTCTTCTTCCCACCAGCCCTCAGAACAGTCTGCATCTACAGTGAGGGCTTGGAAGGGGTCCACTCTAACTCTTGCACCTGTTCCACTTTTTTCCTTTGGGGGATTGGTGGGAATCTTGTCTACTGGCAGCTGTTTCAACAAGCCCACCATCACCGACTTGGGATGGTTAGCTATTTGCTTTCTAGATGCCTTTACTGGCTTGGTTTCCTCTGTGGTATTGGTGTCTTATTTTTCATAGCCCTTGCTTCTGTCTCAGGAGGTCCATGTCTCCTAAATCAGCCATGGATGGCTTGGGCATCTCTCTGTTATTGTTTTGCCTCTTACTTTTAGGTCTTTGGCTCATTTTGAGTTAATTTTTATAAATGGTGTGAGGTAATGGTATTTTGTTATAGAAGCCTGAGCAGACTTTAATTTCTTTCAACAATGTTTTACAGTTTTCAGAGTGTAAACTTTGTAGTTCTTTTGTTAAGTTTGTTTCTAAGTGCTTTGGGCTTTTTTGTCCCACTTTAAATGGAAGTGTTTTCTAAACTCAATTTTTGGATTGCTCACTGCAAGTACATAGAAATAGACTTGATTCTTGTAGACTGACCGTGTGTCCTGCAGCTTTGCTGCCCTTGTTTATTGCTACTAGTTTATTATTTTTTTCATGGATTTCTGTATACAAACTTATGCCATCTGTATGTAGAGTTACATTTCTTTTGCAATCTGGATGCCATTGTTTCTTTTCCTTGCCTCGTTGCCCTGCTTGGAACTCCAAATACAATTCTGAATGGAACTGACAAGAGTAGATGTCTTGGCCTCATTCCTGGTTCTTGGAAAAAACACACATTTTTCAATTCTTACAGAGCCTTTCCCCATGTACACACTGTGGCAAATTCACTTTCATGGAACCCTAAGCTCTTAGACCCCTGTGGCTGAATAAGATCATGTTCTGAGTAGGCTCTGAAAGGCGCCCTGACACCTCACTTGGGAATTTACATCTGTTTTCTTTTTCTACCTAGACCAGAGTTTCCAGTGTGACATTATCATATACCCTGCTAGGGAATTATTTAACCACAGATTTCTGTGAAGGATTTTGCCAAAAACAGACCATATCACAAGAAAGAAAAACAAACGATCTTTTCTTCAAATAGACTCTGTGCACTCAAAGCAGAACATATTGGTTGGAGGTGTTGAATTTTCTCTCAGTAGCTGGCCAAATACCTGTTGGATAGCATTTCCTCTCTCTGGAATAAGATGCATTTTATGTGCCTAGGTAAAGGAATGATCACTTGCAGCTAACTTGTGTAAACACATTAGACTAAGTAGGAAATGGAAGCGGGTGTTTCCACTGAAAACCCAGAGAATGTCTATTTGTTTAAATGCCATGTAAAGTTTCAGATACAGAAAGGAATAACCTGAGAGCAAACCCAGGAGTCGCCCTGGACAGCTTCTACTCTTTCAGTGTTGGAGCCTTGTCAGGTTTCTCTCATAAATCAGATATTCTGTTTACCCCTCACCGTGTCCACTCCCTCATGCCAGGAGCCATCCCTCTCCTGGAATACACTGTGGACTCCTGCTCTAACCTGTTGCCTCGTGCAGAGCAATTTTGAAACACAACACCCTGACTGTGTACTTTCCCGCTGAAACACTGCTCTAGTTGCGGGATAAAGGCCACTGCACTTCTCTTGGTTCATGGTGCTCTACGTGTCCTTGACCTTAATATTTCTATAGCCTCCTCCCAAACCAACCGTGCTTCCCTGACTCTCTGTGCTCTGGCTGCATCTGATGCTCTCTCCTGCCACCAAACCTTGGCTTGTGCTGTGCGTTCTTTCTAGAATGTTCTGCACCAGGAAACTGCTGTCCTTCAGAACCCAGCTCTGTGTGGTCGTGGTCCTCCCTCGCTCTCAGGTTAGTGCCTTCACTGTCCACTTTCCTGGCCCAGGGCTCCTCATTACTTCATTTCCCACAGCTGTCATCACACGTTCCTTTGTGTGATCCTCTGATTAAAGTCATCTCTCCTCCTGAGACGTTCCGTTCCTGGAAGCTGTGTGTGATTGTAGTTTCTGCCATGCCACCATGGTACGTGTTCATTGATACTCATTTAGTGTTTGGTCTCAGCATTGCCCCATGCTACCTGTATGGGAACTTAATGAAGCAGACACACCATGCATACTCTGTAGACATTTGGAACAGGCTCAAGCCAATGTGGGTCTTGCATGTATTTTGGAAGACATTTCAGGTGAAGGAGGTGAACATTGAACTAGGCCCATGGGATGGTGAGTAGGATTCCAAGTCAGAGGAGCAATGGGTACCCAAGATGGGGGTGACAGCATGAAGGGGAGGAGAGAGAAACTGGATAGTGTCCACTCACTGAGATGCAAAGGATGTGCCCATATCCACAAGCCAGATGTGGGACTGGGGTCGAGCTGGCCAGAAGGAAGGTCAGAGTGAGGGAGCTGATGGGGGAGAGTGCCTGTGTAGCTCAGGCATCCTGGGGGTGGCTCCAGCTCCACAGCAGCATCCGTGGAAAGCCAGTCATCTGCAAGAGTGGGAGCCTGGTCCTGCTCCTTAACTGCAGGAATGCTGACTTGCCTTGTCGTGATGAGTTCACGCTATCGTCCTTCCGTCTTTGTCATTTTTCACTTAGGCCTCCTCTCCGTGCCAAGTCTGAGTGGCCTTGTATCGCTTCTCACTGGGATCTCTCAGCAGCTTTGCCTGTTTTGGCCTCCAGAAGTTACGATGCTTTCCCTTGTTGCAGGTTTTCCTTCGATGACAGCTCTCAGGGTGGTTGGGCCCCACTCTCCTTGTGATTCTCAATCCCCACTCCCATGGTTCCAGCTTTCTCCTCTGCTTTTCTGAGAAAATGTCCTTCCAGCCCCTGATGTTTTCACCACAGGAACAGTGGAAAGAGTGGAGAACTCACAGAAACTCAGACACAGGAGCTGTTGCCCTTTTTCTTCCTTTAAAATCTCCAGGCATGACAATGTCGTTGGTATTCCATGGCCAAGTTCTCTTGGAAAACACTAGAAACAACACCAGCTCCAGTTAAGTGATAAATTGGTGAGGCAGCACAAAAGGGAAGTGTGGGTGGGAATAAAAGTGCCGGGATCTTATCCCTCACCTGGCTCTCTCAGAAATGGGTGGATGTCTCCTCTTTAGCCCAGTCCTGCACATGTGCTCGGCCAAAGATGAGGTAGAAGATCAAGCCAGAAATGTCAATGGCAGCTGCAAGCAAGAAGACATTCCTCCAACCCAATTCTGAATCCTAGAGGCAGGAAACTCCAGGTTACTCAGAGTCACCGAATTCCTGTGCCTCTGCTTCACAAAAGGCTGTGGCTTCACAGCCATCTGGCCCTCCCCCAGCTTAGCTATCTCTCCAGGGTCTTCCTGGTTGCTCTTGTAATGAGCAAGTACCTTTCTGCCATGAGGCCTGTGGACTGGCTGTTCCCTTAGCCGAATGCTCCCCACAAAGACACCCACCTACCCAACTCCCTCCCTTCCTTCCAGTCTGCTTGATTGTGACATTTTCCAATGACACTGATCACTCATCTAAATTGAAATTCTATCCCTGTGACATGCCCTATTCTTTTCTCTTACCACTTACCATCATTCAATATGCCATATACTTTACTTATTTCACTCATTTGCTATCCATTTCTTTCCTACAATATAGGTTTCACAAGAGAATGAACTTTTGCTTTCCTTATTCAGTTAAACAGTGCACAACACTGTGGCATGAATGAATGGATGCATAATGAATGAATGGACAAGTTGCAGGAAAAGCAAGATCAGTTTGAGAATTTTTGTTTCAAACAATAATTTCCTGACAGTGTGTTAGTCAATGTCAGGAAGGGAATTAAAGTTTCAAAAAAGAGAAGGAAATTCATTTTATTTAAAAATATAATTTCTGGGACTGGCATTTGGTATAATATTAAGACTCCACTTGGAATGCCCACATCCTGTATCAGAGTGGTTGGGGTTGAGTCTTGGCTCTCTCCTCATTCCAGCTTCCTGCTAATGCACACCCTGGGGGGTAGCAGGTGATATTTACAGTGGTTGAATCTCTGCCATCTACATAAAAAACCCAGATGGAATTCCTGGCTCCTGGCTTTGGCCTGGCCCAACCCTGGCTATTGTGGACAATTGTCTCTCTCTCTCTTCTCTCTCTCTCTCTCTCTCTCTCTCATCTCTTCTTTCAAATTAATACAATAAACATTCTTGAATACTCTTTCAGAAATACCCTTCCTTTGTTATTCTACACTCCCTTTCCTGATTTACTTATGGAAAACCACAGGAAAGTTGAAGAATGATGTGTGGCTATAACATACATCTTTCTTCAAGTCTGTATCAGTAATATTTTTAGGAAATGCTCAAGTCCTCAAATGAGTTTATTTGTTTTGACTATGTAAAATACATGTCCTAGGATGGAAGACTGTGCCAATAGAAAAGCACCGTGTAAGCAGCACTGTTCGGAAGAGCCTCCGCACTGACCACTCATGAGCCTCCATGTGAGTGCACATTGTTCCTTCACCCTGGCGAGCGCTCAGCACCCTCACTCATGGATGGCTTATTCACTCTGTGAATATTTGCAGGTTTCTGTATGGGGTGACCAAATCATCTCATTTTGCCTGGACATTCAATATTTTAACATTGAAAGTCCAAATCCTGGGAAATCCCTCAGTCCCCGGAAACCAGGGTGGTGGTCCACTCTAGGAGAAACATCATGAATATTGCTAGAAATCTTGTGTTGAGCACATGAAGCTTATCCTCTAAGAACTCATAAAGCACAGATTCCTTACAGTCAGCATTTCCCTTACTCCACACCCAAACATGTGATGATTTCTCTAAGTGGGGCTGATGGTCAAGTGTTCAAGATTCTTGAGTTGTCATTGAAGCACATTGAGGAGATAACAAAAATATCATTAATCCAACTCTTACCAAGTGACTCCTATATGTTTCTCTTTTGAATATTCATCCGAATGTCAAGCTCACCTGACCGACTAAAACTCCAGCAACGGTGGGAGAGATGGCTCCAGCTAAGATTGCAAACACTTGCATTAGTCCCTTGATAAAGCCGGCGTACCTGATGGTGGGAGAGAAAAGAGAGACATTCCCATGTGGGCAGAGGATTATTCTCGGCTGTTCTGTTGCAGCTCTGTGCCTAGCCTGTGATGGTGCGGACCCTTGGTTAAACCTGAATGAAATGTACTGATTAATGACTAGTTTAATCCTGTGCTAAAATTCAAGACTTCCAAGGGGTAATATGTCCTAACTGGTCAATATTGTGTATTGTTTATGCAGAATGATGGTTTGCACCTGTTTTATATAGTTGATTACTACAATTGAGCCTGCTTCTGTAGCCTTGTTTTGGGGTATAAAGAAACCTCTGTTGCATGAGAAATTTGCTTGCTGAGACCAAGGTATCTCCCACATGTCTCAGTGGTTACTTCTCCAAGGATGAAGTATGTTGTGTTAGACTGTACAGGTCCCTGGAGCTACAGTTGGAAGCCTTAGGCTACTCTGTGGACCTCCAGTAGAGGTAACTATTTCTGCTTTGATTCTGTGTTCTCACCCTTCACTGGAGCCTCATATGAGCTAACCCTGTGACTTCTCATGAATACTTTCTGTCTCCAAGTCCTGTGTGATTGCCACATTCCTCAACAGAAAGTGTGTGTTTCCCACAGCTGAGCTGTGAACATGGTTGCTGAGTTCTCTTTTTATACCTGGAAACACCAAGTTCAGCATGACTGACCAGCTCCAGGTCCCTTGCAGGAATTATTTGGAGGTAGGACTGGAGTTGACATTACCTGTGACCTGTGTTACAATGTCTCAAGTTGCCTGCATGTCAGATTTAAGGTTACTGGACCGGCACTGAGCTGGTAGGAATGAGGCAAAGGGGTCCATACCGAGGAGCAATATCCAAGAAGTTTATGAGGGAGCCTGGCTGATTGAAGCTGGTGAAGACGGTAGTCAGTATCAAGAAGGTGATGGTGGCCGCGGGGCTGGATTTGACCCAGTACAGAGACACGAGGACCACAGAGGAGCCAAGGACCCCTGAGGCAGAGGAAAAATAGAATGAATAGGGGGCCGCCTGCGTTTCTCACATCCACCCCTGTATCAGTTTGAGCCTCACCTATAGTAGTGAAGAGTTTCCTGACGACGATGAGTCTGAGAATTTTTCTGGAGAGGAGAAAATCAGCCAGTAGACCTCCAAGGATAATGCAGATACAGCCAGAGATATGTGGCAGTGATGACAGCATCCCACTCTGAAGACCAGAGACGAGGTGAATACGTGTGCCCTCACCGCCCACTGTGACACGCACTGACCTCTCATGGGTTGTCCACATCTATGGCTTCTCTTTATATACAAATCACTTTTAATGCAAATCCCATGCTCCTGGAATGAGCCAGTGTAACCGTGGTGCCTGAGAAAGCGTACACGTGCAGCTCACTTTGCAAAACATAAATGTTGTCTTTACCTACAAGTCCAAAACTCAGCAGGAAATAGATATGTAAAAGATCAAAACCAGCAGAAAAATAGTCAAAGGATATAAACAAGTGAAGATAAAAGAAAGATAAGTGGCTCCTAAACATATTTAAAAGTTACCAAATAATCATAAGCTCACTTAAAATAAAACACAAGCAAAATAACACAATCGCAAGATATGCCTTTTCAAGGACCAAACTAGCAAAAAAAATGGGAGGTTTTTGGCATGTTCTGTGGCCAGGTCTCAAATATCTATATGGGGACAATTGATAGGACAGTCACCCTTTGACTCAGCAACCTGATATGCAAAAATTTATGCCGCAGAAATGCTCATGCAAATGCATGACAGCTGAGCAAGGTTTTCACTGTGGCATTACTCAGAGACTAGAAACAATACAAATGTTCATCAGTAAGGTTCTCGTGCATGGGTGTAAAGAGATCTCCATGGCATATTTAATGGCAAAAACTTAGTACCAAGGAACTCAAAAAGTTCATGGAAAATAGAATTAAAAGGTAAGTTTGATGTAAAAGAACATTTTTTATATACAAGTGTAGTTTTTTCACAATACATGTCTGTGAACTTTTTGAAGTATCCACATATATAAAACATATCAGTATATATAGTATATAATATTCTACGTAAAAAAGCACATTGGAAAAATAAAAATAACCATTCATGGGTGCTTGCATTCTCAAAAGGGATCAAAATAAGAAATTTTCAGAGTGATTTATGGAGTGGGCCAGGATAGCAGGAGCATTAAAAACATGAATGAGAGTAAGATTTTTTCACGGTTTACCTATGAATCTAGTTTCTAAATGTTGAATCTTGTTATTACCAATTCAATTTCTAAATTAAAATTTTAGCCTTAAATTACAAGGAAAAGATCATCCTGTGCAGTGTACAATCCAAATAGTCAAAAGGAGTAATGCCTCACCCGGTTCAAGTGGATCATTCTACAGATGAGAATAAGCTTATGTAACTTAGTCTAAGGCCCTTTTCCCCCATCCTCCTCCTCCTCAGCTTGGTCTTCCTGGTGCCACACCAGCCACAAATCACTTGCCCCAGTGAGATTCAGGATATCTGTCGGCCAGCCCTGTCAGCCGGCTTGTCCCCTGAGTCCCTGGTTGGCAAATCTGGCTCAGGCCCTGACCCTTTTTGAGCAGACACAGAGCCACTCCCTCTGGGACTTTCTGAACTCAGCTCAGAAAGTTCTGTGCATGCATACTCCCCAGACTCTGCCCACCACCAAGGTCAGCCCTCTGTTACCATCAGTGTAAGAGGCCTACCTTTGAGTACAGAAGACAAGGGTGGAGTAGTAGTTGGGGGCTTTGTGATCTGTCGCTAGCAGGCCATGACACCTGATACACTTTTTGCCACTTTATTTATTTATTTATTTATTTTTTGAGAGGTAGAGTTACAGACAGTGAGAGGGAGAAAGAGAGAGAAAGGTCTTCTATCTGCTGGTTTACTCCCCAAATGGCTGCAACAGCTGGAGCTGAGCGGATCAGAGCCAGGAGCCAGGAGCTTACTCTGGGTCCCCCATGTTGGGGCAAGGACCCGAGTTCTTGGGCCATCTTCTACTGTTTTCCCAGGCCATAGCAGAGACCTAGATTGGAAGAGGAGCAGCTGAGACTAGAACCGGCTACCCATATGGGATGCAGGTGCAGCAGGCAGAGAATTAGCCTACCGAGCCACAGTGCCAGACCCATTTTTTGCCACTTTTAAGATATACATCTAGGGGCTGGCATTGTCACTAGCAAGTTAAGCCACTGCTTGCAACACCAGCATACTATAACAGAGTCCCAGTTCAAGTCCCAGCTGCTCCACTTCTGATCCAGCTTCCTGATTATGCAGTTGAAAAAGTAGTAGAAGATGGCCCAACTCCTTGGGCTGCTGCCACCATGTGAGAGTGTAAGAGGCCTGGATGGTGTTCCTGGCTCCCAGCTTTGGCCTGACCTAGCCCTGGCTATTGCAGCCATTTTGGGGGAGTGAAACAGCAAATGTTCTGTCACTCTACTTTTCAAATAAATAAAAATTAATTTTTTAAAAAAAGACATCCATCCAGCAGAAGTTGAAAGGCTCCTGTCAGCCAAATGAAAATTCAGAGAGCTACAAATATGTCACCTTTTCTATGTTAAACTTGAACAAAACATTTATATTAAAATGATCTACAATTTTTATATATGTCCTATTTGGGACTTTATGTCCTATTAATAATGTCTTATTTTCAATATATATTGTTGATAGTCATCATTAGTTTTCTCAAAGGCAGAATTTCTTTTGTTGTTATACTATCTGCACAGTATCTTGTGTCCAAATGTTGATTGAAATGAGGATAAAATTTTGTGTGTAGGTCCCTTAAAAGTATGACATTCTGTGAATACCAAGCTGGCCTAGACCCACACTGTCCCAACCCAGTAAGTAGGAAACCATATTAAGAGCAACCAGAATCCAAGTAAACCAGGTGGCAGGCCCCACCTGGAGACCTGGGCCTAATCCCTTGATTTTGTGACCGTGGGGAAAACAGAGGATTATATAACGAAGCATTTAAACACAAGGGCAAAGTAAACTGTCTTTCTCTGTACTTACAGTTGTGACGCTGGTTTGAAGTATAGAGCGGATGTATGTTGGTGAGTATGACGTTACTATATGAACAGTCCAGTATTCACAAAAATAAGATACTAAGATGGCCCAAAGTGGTAGACATTTGATCATAGCTTTAATGGGAAGAGACTTCTTTGGCAAGTCCTGGAAGAAAGCACATATCAGTATCCATCCATCAGCGACAAGAGCTCTGTTCCGATGGACTCTTCACTGAGATGTGCAGACACAGAGACATAGGGAAATGGGAGGAAGTGCCCAGGTACCTGCTGAGCCAGTGAACACGCGATGTAACTCTTCTCACCCGCGCTGATAAAGGGATGATCCTTGGGGTCATTATAAACAAGAGGAAACCAGAGAAGACAACAGACACACCCAATTGCACCTGGAAAAAGAGGATCCAGTTGGAGTTCTTCTTTCAGTCAGCCCTGGCCCTGAGGTTGACAGAATGGCTCCTACACCCCACCTCTCCATGCAGTACTATCTTTTCATGGCCCTATGGTGGGTGGTCAGATACCCCTACCATTTGACTTTGGTCTCAGCCATCTAATTTGCTTGTGCCAATGGAATGGGACAGTTCTAAGCCCAGGCATTAAGTAGCATTGCCTTTTTTGAGGGGAACAGGGAGTGCTCTGACCCTGGGAGGGACATGCTCCAGCTAATCCATTGTCCAAAGCAGATGCCACACTCCGAAGGCAGAACCACCCAGCTGCTACACAGAACAATGCGAGTGAATGATTGCTATCTTAAACCACTGAGTTTCTGGAATGCCCTTCTTGGAGGCATAACACGCTGTTACTACTTATTACTGTGTCTGCCCCAAGTGCTTGAATGTACCCACCACATTTAAGTACCTATCAGCAGCCCTACCACTACCCATGCTTCTGCAGTTTCTTTCCTCATTAAAACTTTGGATATCTGTTTCCTTTCCCAAGAACACTTAAGAGTTCAAAGCAGTATGTTATTATGTAAAATGGATTACCCAGATCATTTCCAGACATTAAATGAAATTAATACTGAACCAAGAAATTGTCTCTAATACATATACATTATTAAAGTATTGAGGAAGTCAACATTAGCAGTTTTGAGTAGAAATATGACTTAAAATTCCCTTTTATGGGATTGTTTTTTTGGCACAGCAGGTTAAGCTGCCACCTTTGACACTGGCATCCCATATGAGTGTCAGGTCAAATCTCAGCTGCTCCACTGCCAATGCAGTTTCCTGCTAATATGTGAGGGGAGGCAGCATAAGATGGCCCAAGTCCTCCTGGCTTTGGTTTGGCCCAGTTGCAGTCATCTGGAGAGTGAGCCAACAAAAGTGTGTGTGTGTGTGTGTGTGTATGTATGTATGTCCCACTCTTTCTGTAACTATGCCTTTCAAATAAATAAATAAATCTCTTTTAAATTCCCTTTTTAAAATCTTAACAGAGGTTTAAGAGGCCTCTTCATATGGCTAACTTATCATTTACACATTCCTTCACAAACATGATCCAGAAGCCACCGTACACCATGTATTTTGCTAAATTTTAAGTATATGACACTACAAAGTCACAGTTGTGCCATCAAGGAACTTAAGCAAGTGGGAAGCATTAAGGTGCTCATTGGGATTGGAAGACATTACTATTGATTCAATAAATACTTAATGAGTTTCTATTTTGTTTGTACTTCTTACTGTTTCTCAAAACCTTAAACACAGTAAGGCCCTTTCCTTGAATAATTTTTGTAATCTCTGAAGGTTGATATACTGTAGTAGTCAATCTTCAAAGATTTTTTTCTAGTGAATATATTGACCTGATGTTACAGGGACCATTGATGTGAGAAGACAACTCCCTAATGAAAACATCAGTGGGATTTAACTTCAGGAATCAGGCAATTTGCAGGTGGGATTTCAGGAAACATTTCAAAATTGTACCAAATCTGCTGGACAGATCCCAACCAGAGGTCAATGAAGGTCAAATTGTGATGTGGTGAAATATTGCTTCTGGAATATTCCAAGTGATTTTGGAATCTTTCTGCAGCATCTGTCTGTGTACCATATTCCCTCCTGAGCTTCACCTGGTCTGCCTTGTTCTGCAGTCTCTCCTGATTAATTCTCTACACCCATTAGAATCTAACCTATGATTAGGTTAATTCACATGATATGCTGGTTGTTGTAATAATAGGAGAGATTTAAAACACTGTGCTAAATAAATAAGCATGACCAACATTACAGTCCCACCAAGATGGCACTTTCAGCCTCTTCTAAAGAAACTTCTCTAGGGTCCTTTCATTGCAATTAAGAAGTGAGAAGGAATGTTATGATGTCTTTCAAAGTCATAAGGTTATTCTAGCTGCACACTCAGGCTACTAAAACTTGTATGCCATTTTATAACACATAAAACTCACAACATGGTGAGCTCTGAACATTCAACATTAACAGTATAAACACCTGTATCTATTAGGATTTAAGTTGAATCACAGAAATTACGCCCACCATTTTCTATCATTAGATAAAATTCTGAGATTCAGAAAGTACAAACTCACCAAAAATATAGAAGACATAAGGCCACCCTAGGTTCTGGCAGATGAGACCGCCAACAAGGAGCACAAGAAAGGATCCCAGCTTCGCCCCTAAACAGAAGATGCAAGGATGTTTTGGGTGAGGGGCCAGCGTTGCACTCTGCATGCTTCCTACAAAGCTGAGCCACACATGACTGAGGTATGAGCTTCAGTGCAACTGCCTAGGTTCAAGCCGTGTTCTTTCTTTCAGCTATGGGATCTGAAACACGTTTTTACTCTATTTGTGTCTCAAATTCCTTGTCTTTGAAACAGAAATAATTTTATATATAGCTGAATTGAAAGATTGTTCTGAGGCTCAAATGAAATTAATATGTGCAAAACACAAGAATGTCTAGTACACAGTAAGTATTCCATTTGGGGTAAGGCTTTAGAGCAAGTGTGGGTCTTTGCTGCATCCTCTTGGACTGTGTGTATTAGGTGAGGGTGAGGGGTCAATTACCTGATACAGCAATGCTAATGAGTTGATTCCTTTCCACAGGTGGAGCCCATCTGACCCAAAGTGCATACTGACCTGTGAAAACCATAACCTGGGTGGCGGGGAGGGAAATTCCATTCTTAGAAATATGAGCTCATTCCGAAACCTATGTTTCATTCATACTTGGAAAATAGTGTGGTACCTGGGCTATGCCTTGAAAAACGCGAACAACAATGAGCCAGGCCACTCCAGCGTCAGCGGCCAGTGGAATGAGGAGGCCCAGGACTGAGGTAGCAATCAAGCCAACACCAACCACGTACTTGGCTCCAAATACTCCAGCCACATAGCCAGTGGGAATGGGAGCCAAGAACGAGCCATAGTTGAGGGAGCTGAGGATGGTCCCCTGGATTTCAGGACTCCAGTCATATGCAGGGGCCTAAACAACAAAGAGAAGCTCACTGGTCTGTGGTTGGGAAGCTGACAGCTTTTATTGTGAGGACCTGAGAGGCAAAAAGAGGAGGAGGGTCAATTTCCTTTCCTTTTAGTTCTCTAAAATTCCTCTAATCTATGGGTTTCATTTAAAAAAAGAAAAAACTCTAAACGATGCACAACCTTTTCCACTACTCTGACACAAATAATCAGCCAGTTAAAACATAATAAAACCATAAAATAGAGAGAGTCTATCAAGAAAAGACATCGTTGGGGGCAGGCAGTTGGTATAGCAATTAAGATGTCTCTTGTGATACTCGCATTCCATATGGAAATGCCTGAGTTTGAGGATATTCTACTCCTAATTCCAGCTCTCAGCTAATGTGTACCCTGGGAGGCAGCATGTGAGAACCCAAGTACCTGGGTCCTTACCACCCAAATGGGAGACCCAGGTTGAGTGATTTCCATCATTGTAGGAGAAAAATTTATGTCTTTGAAATGGCCTGCTTCCATCACTCATAGGCCCCAGTTACACTCATATACACCAAGTCGGGTTATAATCTCCTTAGATATACAGCATGTTCTCATGCCTCTCCTGACACATAGTTTATTCTTCATAAATATTCACTGGTTAAATGATTCACACTCTTTTGTAAAACAATCCTTTAAGTCAAATCATTTGAATCCGAGGAAGGGTTCACAGCCTCATTAAACTTACTGTTGCCTGGAATTCCGTCTGCGTTTCATTCCAGTTGTCCTGGGAGCTCAAGGAGGCATTGGCCTGGCTGGGCAGGGCCGTGTTGTTCACCATGGCTGTGATGGCGATGCTCAGGTTCGTCTGTTGGGCGTAGATTGAAAAATTACAGAAATGCAAGATGAAGGCCAGGCCATGTCGGACTGTACAAAAACCTGAAACCAGAAGGCACAACAAGTCTTTAAGTCAGAATGCTTTTTCCCAATCCCTACCCAGTCTGGAAGAGGGAGAAGACTGGTGTCTGTGTGTGAAGCAGAAATATAGAGAGAGCAGATATCGCCCCCTAGTGTCTGGTGGACCTGCCCCCTGGGAGGAGCTGAGGCAGGTAGTCTCTCCCGCCCCCCAAGCACTCCTCAACAGAGACTATGGTGTGATTGGTCAGAGCCTGCATGAAGGCAGTGCTGTCCCAGCAGGCCCAAGGGATGAACTGATGAGAAGGGGAATGGGAAGAAACAGATGTAAAAGACTTGAAACAGTGATTAATTGAATATAGAGGGCAAAAGAGAGAGGATGATTGGAAATGATTCCCAGGCACCTTGCTGGGGCAGCTGGGATGTAACAAAGTGGCATTTGTAACACAAGAACATGAAAGATTGACTTGCTGGAGGCCTGTAGGAGAGGAAACTTGAAAGATAGGCTAGAGTTAGATGGTAGAAGTATTTCAGTGTCATAATACTGCAATCCAAGCTTGCACAAAGCATGCCAGTGTGCCATCAGAGCTCTGGGGCTGTCCTTGTGACTGAGTAGCATATTCGTATTGGTTTGACAACAGCTGCAAGGCTTACTTGCCTGTCCCTGCAGAGAAGATGGATAATATGTGTAATATGTGATCAGAGTCCTTGGTCACACTTGGAGGGGCCAGCCCTGCACCCTTCTGTGTATTGATGTTCTTGCTGAGTTCTAGGAATTGGCCAACCCTCACTTTGGGTTTAAATCTAAGGGCATCTAACTCTAGGAGCCCATGCACCCCATCTACAAAAATTTACCCTGGATTTTTGATCAATGTCTATTGTTATGGCAAATTAAGTTAAGAAGGATTGCCACATTTATAGTATTGCTTTCTCCTAGCCTACCCAGATATTCAATGTTTTTGCTTTGCCCGCAGTAAAATTTTATAATTCTCTTCAGTTAAGTTCCACACAAGTTTTATGTTATTTTGTATTGTTTCTGTAACTGGGTTTTTCCCCTGTGGATTTTGACTAATAGTAATAATTTAAAATTACATATAATGGAATGATTATGATTTAAATAATGATTTAAAATAATTTTTTCCATTTGCAACATTTATTTCATTCACTTCAGTAATTTTATCATTTTCAAAGCAATATTAAATAGGAATGATGAGTGACAGTCCTTAGGTACAGAAATTTACTAGAAAGGCTTCTCACATTATACCATTAGGTATGCTATTGTTTTTTTGTGTGACACGCTTTAATCGTATCAAATTATCCTCTTGTTCTAAAATATCTGAGGAGATTACATGAGTTTTATCAGATGCATTTCAGTCCTAGAGTCCGTTTCCTGTGTTCCAATCCTAGGTGCTTTATTTTCAGCTGTGTGTTCTTGGGCAAGTCTCTGAGCTTCCATTGCCTCTGTTTCTCACCCGAAAAACAGGTTCACGACCTGTGTCTCAGGACACAACTGATCCAGCTCATGCAAATTCATTGCAACAATTATTAAAGATATCTGCCTATCATGGCATCCTTAGAATGATGCCTTAGTCTTACTAGCTGTTTTCAATGAAAAAAAAAAGTGAATTATTTTGCTCTGACATTAGCTAGAATTATAAGCATACAGTTTGTGTTATATGTGTGTGTACATGTGCTGTTCTTGCCATGTGAGCTTTGGAAAAAATAGAAAGTTACCAGCTTGCCACCTCAATCTCTGACCCAAAATATTTTAGGCAATTACCATTTCCTGTTTTCTTAACAACTTTATCATTTAAAACAGCTTTAGATTTATGGAATCATTGAATTCTCAAATACATTGACATTATGGTTAACTAAAGTTAGTATTTTATTCAGCTTTTTCTTAGTTTTTAGTTAGTGTCTTTTTTTCTGTTCCAAAATTCCATTTTGGGATCGCATTGCAGTTAGTTGCCAAGTCCCCATAGGCTCCTCCTGGCTGTGACAGTTTCTCAGGCTTTCCTGGTTTTTGATGAACCTTGACAGTTTGGAAGAGTACAGACAGGTATTTTGTACAAGGCCCCTCAGTGGGGATTTGCCTGGTGTTTTTCTCGTCAGAAAAATCTTCTTTTGTTGTTGTTGTTGTTGTTTTGACAGGCAGAGTAGACAGTGAGAGAGAGAGACAGAGAGAAAGGTCTTCCTTTGCCGTCGGTTCACCCTCCAATGGCCGCCGCGGCCAGCGCACCATGCTGATCCAAAGGCAGGAGCCAGGTGCTTCTCCTGGTCTCCCATGCGGGTGCAGGGCCCAAGCACTTGGGCCATCCTCCACTGCACTCCCTGGCCACAGCAGAGAGCTGGCCTGGAAGAGGGGCAACCGGGACAGAATCCGGCGCCCTGACTGGGACTAGAACCCGGTATGCCAGCGCCACAAGGCGGAGGATTAGCCTAGTGAGCCACGGCGCTGGCCCAGACAAATCTTAAGGTGAAGGATCTACATAAATCATTTGAAATTCCTCTGCACAAGATACATAGGCATTTTCTGCTCCTTAAAAGTCTCATAGAGTTTTTCCAGTTAAATTACTAAGATATAATTTGTCTGTTTAGAAAGGGACAACTTTTTGACAACCTCTTTGATTTCTTACATGTTTTCAGACCCATAAAATTTTTCTTATTTTTCTTTATTCAAATTTATAAATTCTAGAAGTCATGATTCCTAGAAAATTGTATTATAATCAAATTATATCAGCTATCACATATCTAATCATTAATTAAATTATGTTACATACTTTAATTAAATTTACATTATTATAAGCCATCATTCCTAGAAATTCATTTCCTTTATGTTTCCTTATAATTAGCATACATTTTAAATCTTTGTGTCTCTTATTTTGTCAAGTTTGGTTGTGTTTAATCTCTGCCTGGTTAACCTGAATGGCAGGTTGTTTCATTGCTATGAGTGGCATCTTCTTTCCTAAGGAACCAATTCTTGTATACGATTCATGCATTTTCTACATGTAAGCTGTCTATTTAGTTCTTCTACACACTTATCTTGAAATTGCAGACTCAGTGAATTGGACGCTACATTAACCAGTTTTCATTTATTCTCTAATCTTTGTTTTCCTCATCCAGTATTTTTAAGCCTGCATTTTCCACGACTTTTTCAAGATTTGGCTCCACATCCCTGATTTGACTTCATAGCAATAATTTCTCCCCTTGCTGCGTCTAATTCCAATTTTAATTAAGTGGTGACGTTTATTCTTCTTTAGTTCCCCTTCTCATCTCTATATAAATAAAGTTCTTCCTTTTCCCTGATGATTTACTTCATACACTCTGAGCTTTAATATTATTGTTGTTATTGAGAAATTTCAGAAATTGGAGATTCTCCCACATATAATGAGCCAGGGAAGCATCTTGGAAGGGCTGCCTCTCTGCCTGGATGACTTAGATGAGCTCCTTAATTGTTCTGTGCCTGAGGTCTGGCTGCTGTGCAATGAGGATAAGGCTAGCAGTACCTTCCTTAAGAATTCCTTTGAGTATTCAATGGCATTGCTATACACAAAATGCAAACAATGCCTGTCATAGAGCATGCACTTGTAGGCAGCAGCTATTGCAATGTATGTATGCAGGTGTGCTCCTTGATCTCCCTTTTGTCTAACACATGCCTTCCCTTTTATTTTTCGCTATGGGTGTTTATGTAGGTCCTTTGGGGTCTACCCCTGTAAGGGCTAATCAGCCAATCATGCGTGACTTTGTTCTGCCCCTACTGAAACCTGTGTCCAGAGGCACCCTTGGTGGCTTAGGGCCAGGCTACCTTGCGATGCTGATGGTTTGCATGTGGCTGGCAGGAAGCATCAGGTGGGAGCCAAGAGGGTGTCATGGAATTCTGTTATCAATTCAAGGGTGGCTAACTACTCTTCCATTTTAATTCTGCAATGACCTAGAATTCTGGGATAAGCCCTCCATATTTCCAAGTTCATTTCTTAGGCACACATGCTTTCCTCTGCTCCATTGCACTGTACTCCCCACCACACACACACACACACACACACATACACACACATACACACACACAATACCAAGTTGGCTTAGAGAGGCTGATGAGCTATGAGACCAGGTAAGCACTACCCAGCAGTGTAGAACCACCTGATCTGTGGTCTGTCCAGCTTCTAGATATTTCTACTCCATGCTGGGGACATGAACTGAAGGTTCACAGTACCATTCTCTTTCTTTCTCTAACTTTGTACCATGCTTTAAGGATGAGAGTTTTGCCTCCTCTCCTAAGTCCAACCAGAGTGTGAAATCTGTCAGTAACCCTTGGAGTTCATAGTGTGTAGTGGGAAGAATTTCCCAGTTGGAGGTGCTTTTTTGAAAAGCTGTTGAGGGTTTTTATAGGAAGAAAGGAAGCTGCCTTGAAACTGTTTATTGATTCTCTGTCTCACCGACCTTTCTACAGCCCACATAGTATCAGAGGGGCAAGCCCTGGGAAGCTACAATCCTCAGATCAATCACCATGTGAGTAGATTCTACTGTCAGATTCTACTAATGAGGACATCTGTTCAGAAGGCTGAACACAATGAGAAAGCATCATGCTCAAGAGGCAGTTGCTGGCAGGTAAGTTTGAATCAATGACCATGTACATGGTATATTTGCCTGTGACATTGGAACACCCTCCTGAAAATCATCCGCTTTAGTGATGTCTCATCCTGTACTTATGGATTTCCCATAAGTAACCAACCTGAATTTTGCTTCCCAGACCTGTGGAATCTTCCAGTCTCTATATTAAATACCTTCTTTGTTGACATACCTAGAATGGCTTCTGGCTTCTGGTTGTCTTTGTTTTGTTTTGTTCTGTTTTGTTTTCTGGTTGAACCTAGATAGATTCAGAAGCTCATGGGCCTCTGGGAGAAAGCTCATGAGCTCCATGAATTCTTTCTTTTTTTTTTTTGACAGGCAGAGTTAGACAGCAAGAGAGAGACAGAGAGAAAGGTCTTCCTATTCCATTGGTTCACCCCACAAATGGCTGCTACAGCTGGCACGCTGCAGCCAGCGCGCTGCACCAATCCAAAGCCAGGAGCCAGGTGCTTCCTCCTGGTCTCCCATGCGGGTGCAGGACCCATGCACTTGGGCCATCCTCCACTGCACTCCCGGGCCACAGCAGAGAGCTGGCCTGGAAGAGGAGCAACCGGGACAGAATCCGGCGCCCCAACCGGGACTAGAATCCAGGGTGCTGGCGTGGCAGGTGGAGGATCAGCCTAGTGAGCCGTGGTGCCAGCCCCCAAGAAAGGCCACTGACACTCTGCAGAACCCAAAGGTGCAATTGTTTTTATTCAGGGTCTCTGGGATATGATGGCAGAAATAACTCCATGATGTGACCAGGTGACTCACTATAATGACAGAGGGGCATTTCCCCCACATTCCATAGGACACCACAATTTGGTTCTCTCAGTATCTCTGAAATAGCTGTACCAAGTAAAGATGACAGTAGCCATTGGGTGGGGGTGGGAGGCTCTTATACCCTAAGAAAACCCAGCGTGCCTTAGGGGATCTTATGTGGAGAACATCCCAGTGCCCAGTGACTATGAGCCAAAGAGCTGAGAGGAATAATGATGTTGGACACCAACTGATGAAACAGCAGGGTTTATTCTTAAGCACTTGAAAGTAATACCTGGAGATGCAACACTGTAATCTGGTGAGACTTTGAGGAGCAGCTGTGGTCCTGTCCTATCAAATAGGATGAACTTTGCCAAAAAATGTGTGACTGCTTTTAGCATGATGCCATTTTTTTTTTATTATTTAACAGGTAGAGTTATAGACAGAGACAGAGAGACAGAGAGAAAGGTCTTCCTTCCGTTGGTTCACTCCCCAAATGGCTGCTACGGCCGGCGCTGCGCTGATCCGAAGCCGGGAGCCAGGTGCTTCTTCCTGGCCTCCCATGCGGGTGCAGGGGCCTAAGCACTTGGGCCATCCTCCACTGCCTTCCCAGGCCACAGCAGAGAGCTGGACTGGAAGAGGGGCAACTGGGACTAGAACCCCGCACTCATCTGGGATGCCAGTGCTGCAGGCGGAGCACTAACCAAGTGAGCCATGGCACAGGCCCCGGTGTCATTTTTAACAGCAGGCTTGGGTAAAGTGGTTTACAAAGGCATTGTCTGCTTCAGCTCCTGGAGTGGTCACCAGAGTGCTGAACAGAGTGGTGGGGCAGATGTCCTACAAGACAGTGGAAGAAACCAGAAAGACCACTTGGGAGTCCCATTTTATACTTGATCTTAGCCAAAAGGCCAAGAAGCAATAGGAGTCCCATTTTAGATAAACTGTAAATGAATGTTCCAGAAAGTGGGCTGAGGAGTGGTATGGTGTGAGAGGTATGGAGTGAGTTGTGTCAATAATAGGTAATGTTTATAGGGTGCTTGCTCTATGTGAGTTATTGTTCTATGTATTTGTATTTCAACTCGTTTAATGCCAGCATTAGCTACTGTTATCAGCTAACTTATCCTACATTACTAGCATCCCATTTTTAAAGATGGAGAAACAGATACAGAAAGTAGACTCTGAAATCCTTAGAGATGGATGAGACTTTGAGCTGTGGCCGCCAGAAAAATTTTGATTGTAGGCCAAATTCTGGTTAATTGTAGAATGCATGTTGGAGTGGGTGTCTTCTGGTTTCTTCTTTGGTGGATGACATAAGGAGAACTCTTTTTCCTCAAAGGCATGCCTACATCCCTACATCCCTAGAGAAGCTGGCTAAAGTGTTGACTATTTCAAAGCTTTCCATCTTGGTTATCGTTTCATTTTTTAAAGGCATTATCTTTTGAAAGGTTAGATACTCAAGAGAATTAATGAATAGTGTAGTTTAAGTCAGTAAGGGCTTAGAGTAAAATAAGGTCTTCTATAGTTTTCTATGGCTTGTAATAGATAATAACTAAATGTGATATAGATGAGAAGAAGAGGAGTGACTTCTATGTTGTGGTAGAAAAGAAAAGTCTGTTCTTCCTGGGGCATGTTGGCTGGGTATAACGTGAGCAGACAGATCTAATGAGACATGCCCTGGACTTGAAGTCAGACAAGCCAAGGTCACTCTCCATGTTCCTACTTAGAATCTGCTCTGAACTTTTCTCATCTCTAAGTAATATCATAATGTATACTTGTCCTATATACATTTAAGGTGTCTTGTGAGGCATAAAATGGTTATCAGTGAAAATGTGCTGCAGCAGATAGGATTCTTGGCATTTGGCAGTAGGAAGAGGAAAGCTATGTAGCATCCAAAAAGGAAGGCAAGGTGATATGGATCCCGGTTTTAACCACAACCAGATTCTTTTGCATAACTACCTTTCCTGGGGATTTGCTCTTGAGTCGTTTGTTGATTGTTCTCCTTAGAAACATCTGTGGTCTTGACAGCTGCTTCAGGACACATTTTCGTTCTCTCTTCCCGGGGACTGGCATTTACCTACTGAAATAATCATTTTAAAAATGCAAAAGCAAATACAAAGAGTGAAGCACCCTCTATCTCATATGACAGCATCACAATCCTTCTTTCTACGAATTAGGAGGAAATGCTGTTTATTGGAGAAAATGCTGGATTAGGATTCAGGAAATCCAATTTGTCATCCTGGCTGATCAATGAGTGGCCTGGGACAGGTCACTGTTGTTACCTTGGGTCTTCTACATGCTTCTCCAAAATGAGGGGCCTGGTCTATATTGCCTTCATAAATTGCAAGATTCCCCTAGTTCTGTGTTCAGATATCTCTAAACTCACATTAGTATCAACTGCATGTGAAAATTTGACAATCTTATTTGAAATTTTATTGGGAAGTTTCCAATAGATTCAATTACCTGAAAAACTGCTCTTATAAGTACCTAAATGTATCAGTTAAAATACAGAAAAGATCCTTTCAACCCAAAGAGAATAAGAGATACCTCCACGGATGTTATGAGAATTAGAGGTTTGTGCTACCTCATCATTGACCAGAGTTGGGCTATGGATGAAATTGATGCAGGGCACTGAGATTGATTGCTCTGTGGGTGTGAGGGATGAAGCCTTAGGCTCGTGCCAGCAAGGAGACTTTAAGGGAGGTCCTAATACAGATCCAAAAGCCATGAAGGGGTTCAGATCTTACAGAGGCTCTGCCCACTGCAGCAGCGAGACAGTGATAGCTGTGCACATTGTCTTGAGCTCCAGTGTGAAAATAAAGAGCCTCCCCCAAATTCTGAAATTCATGACTGTGTTATGGGGTGTTGAGGACTGGAAATCACACTGTCCACTCAGAACTCATCCTGGGCTGAAAAGTTGGCTGAAGAATCAAGCCTCAAGTGATTTGCTCAACACAGATCACGCAAAATTCCCGCTCCCCTTAACTTGAGCTCAAGACCTCAAATTACAAGCACTCAAAGAAGAGATCCATGCAGAGCAATTCCCCAGACTCAACACATAGCACGATTAGACTATGGAGCACTTCCAGAAATAGGAACAATGTGATAAAGACATTACATAAGTGAGCTTAAAATTGACTGGAAAATAGCATAGGAACCACTCCGAGGATCTCAGTAAACTGGCAGATTTAAGAAAGAGATTACCTGAAGTACAAGAGAAAACATTATGCGTTGAAGTTTGAGACTAAGTGACTAGCTGTGGCTAATGGAAGAACTGACGAAATAGAAGGTAGCACTAAGTAATCATTCACAATAAAGCTCACTGAGACAATGAGGGATGATAGCAGGGTCAAGAACCTGGAAATGGAGTGAAAAGGTTCAGTGTGTGTTGAATGGGACATCTAGGAAGAGAAAATAAAGAGAATTAAAGAGAGGTGGTATTTCAAGAAATAATACATAGAAAGTTTTCAGAATAAATGAAACACAAGATTTCTCAGGTTCAGGCATCCCAGTGGGTCTCAAGCCAGAGAAATGAAATGAAAGCTACCCCTAGACATATCATAAGAATACTAAATGATACAAAAAGCACAAAAGTCATCTAAAATAATATATCATGGAATTTCACTGGTGGAAGTGGTAAGCCTCTGGGATGGGTGGAAGGCCTGTGGTTAAGACACTGGTTGCAACACCCACACCTCATGTGGCAGTGCTTGGGTTTCGGGCCTGGCTGGGCTCCCAATTCCAGCTGCCTGCTGACACAGGCTCTGGTAGACAGCAGCTGATTATTTGAGAAGTTGGGTCCCTGCACTCCCGTGGGAGACCTGAATGGAGTCCCCAGATCTCACTCTCTCTTTCTTGCTCTCACTCTTGCTGTCTCTCTGTCTCCCCTCCCCTCTCTTTGTTGCCCTGCCTTTCAAAGAATAAACAACTAAGTAAATCTTAAAAAAAAAATCCTTCCCACAATAACTGGCGGGGCCACGTTGGTCCTGGTGCGCTACAGCCGAGGGAGGACAGGAGGGGGTCAGTAAACACAGCACTGGGGACATGGGAACGACAGGTGACATCCCCAGGAGGAGACTTGAAAGGACTCAGCATTGAGCACCTACGCAGCCCAGCTTGCTCCAGGGCCAGGTGACTAGCGTTCCAACCAAGGAGAGCCACCTGCTGCCTCTTACTGCCGCTGTGTCTCCCACCCCCATTAGCACCAGGCCTGGAAGGGGCAGTGGCCTTGGCAAGAGGATGGCCGTGGAACTGGCAGGGAGAGGAACCAGAGGCCAGACCAAGCCACGTTCCCTGCCTCAATCCGAGCTGGGGAAGCAGAGAAGTTTGCGCTTACGAAAAGTTGGAGCTCGGGACTCTTCATCACACTGGACCCATTCATCACGCAATGAGATCATTCCGAGACTGAAAATTGACCCGTAGACTTCCAGTTTCTGATTCAGGATGGGAGAAGTTATGGGGCCAAGCAGATGTAAGAGAAGTGAGGATGGGGCAGGAGTGGCTGGGGAAACAAAATCGTTTTCCACTTGTTTTCTGTGTAGTACTACTTCTACTACTATGGAAGAAGATGTACGTCGATTCTTCAGGGAAACAGTGCATAGTGTCTCGTGCAGCCGGCACTAATATCGGTATGTTACCACCGAACAGACAAGTAGCCTCACTGACACGCTGCAAACACAGATGCTAGACCATGGAACCCTTCAGTCTGCATCAAAGTCAGAAAATAAACTGAGGGGCTGACACTGTGGCACAGCCAGTTCAAGTCCTGGCTGCGCTGCTTCTGATCCAGATCCCGGCTAGCGTGCTTGGGAAAGAAGTGGAAAATGACCCAGATGAAATTGCAGTCAAGCCCCTTTGGCCATTTGGAGAGTGAACAGCAGATGGAAGATTCATTCTCTCTCTCTCTCTCTTTCCCCTCCCCTCTTTCTTTGTCTCTCCCCGCTCTGTCACTCTGCCTTTCAAATAAATAGATATTTAAAGATAAATAAATAAACTGAAAGTTGAATTAAAATCCAAAACCAATGTTTATTGAAATAGGGCAGTTCTGGTAACTCTGAGAAGAAAGCTGTAGAAGGAAGGGACTGAATTTTCTGCTATAAAATAATTTGGTTACTTATGTCCATATCTCAGGACAATCAGTTGAGTTCAAAAGATGATACCAGTCCCAAGAATGAAAAGTGAGCTTTCAAGGTAACCTTGTATCCCAGGAGCTGGACCATGTAGCACCTTCCTGTGCGCCACTACCTGAGTTCAGGGACTACAGGTTCATTCACAGATCCTGGAAACATTTGTTGTCTCAATGAATGAAATGTTCTGTTTTCATAGCTCTTTGTTCTGCGTGACTGAGGACCCAGTTCTCATTAAAAGGCATTCCCCCAACCCCTGCCCGGCCTCCATACAGTCGCATAGCAACACCTGGGCCAATAACAGACGCCGTACGTGACGGTGGTCCCACAGCCTGGTGATGGAGCCGTCTGAGCTTGTGTCAGTGTGCTCCTGTGATGTTCCCACAGGACAGAATCACTTTGCGATGCATTTCTCAGAACTTATCTCCAGGGTTAAGCGACGCATGACTGTAATTACAAGAGAAGCACTTGGCGGCTTTTCTGGTGACCAGAAACGACGGTTTCTCTGGAGTTAATGAGAGCAGTGGAAGTTGGCAGTGGAGGACTCCCTGAAATACGTGCTCCCATGGTCACAGTGCCAGGAGGCACACATCATGAAAAGAACCAAGGAAGACTGGGAGCCGGTGCTGTGCACAGTGAGTTAGGCTGCCGCTTGTAGTGTCAGCATCCCAGATGGGCACCAGTTCAAGTCCCGGCTGCCCCACTTCTGATACAGCTCCAACCACTGTAGTCATTTGGGAAGTGAACCAGTGATGAAAGATCTCTCTCTCTCTCTCTCCATTTCAAATAAGTAAATAAATAAATAAATCTTTAAAAAATTTTAAAAAGAAAAGAATGGAGGAAGAATGCTATTTTCTACAAAGAAAATATAAGAATAGCACTGAATGTCACTGGCATCAATTGAAAATGGGAGCGAGCTGAAGGAAGCTGTAGGGCAAGAGCATTCCAGGCAAAGCAAAAGCAACCGGGATGATTTTGATGGGTTTTGCAGCAGAAGGTAGCCCAGGGTGGCCAGTGCAGAGTGAGTGAGGAGACTGATGGTAGGAGATGAAATCAAAGAACTACACCAGTCTACAAGGAGACTGGATTTACTTCGGCAGCCATGTGGTCCATGGCCTAGAAAGGACAAGACCCGATCCAAGAGACTGAGCAAGAAGCTGTTTTTTGGGGGCTGGTGCTGTGGCGTAGTAGATTAAGCCTCTGCCTGTGGTGCTGGCATTCCATATGGATGCTGGTTCGAGTCCCAGCTGCTCATCTTTTGATCCAGCTCTCTGCTATGGCCTGGGAAAGCAGTGGAAGATGGCCCAAGTGCTTACGCCCCTGTATCTGCGTGAAAGACCCAGATGAAGTTCCTGGCTTCGAATCCATCCAGCTTCTGTCGTTTCGGCCATTTGGGGAGTGAACCAGGAGTGAACCAGCAGATGAAGACCTTTCTCTCTGTCACTCCCTCTCTCTCTCTGTAACTCTCTGTCAAATAAATCAAATCCATTTAAAAAAAAATAAAAAGAGCTGTTTTCTGCACCTTGGCAAGAGCTGATGGAGACTGAACTAGGCTGGCCATGATGAAAAGTGGATTTGGCTCCTGCTTCAGAGAGAAGCTGGGAAGACTGGCCAGTGAAGTGGGCATGGAATGAGGAAAAGGGAAATCCTTGAGATTTAGGGCTGAGCAAATGAGTGAGTGATGTTGCCCTCAGCAGGGGGGGGGGTGGGTGATGAGCAAGGAGGAGAGAAGGTTTCCAGAGTTTCACACTCACAGGCTTTGGGATGACTGCTAGCCCCAGAAGCAAAGATTGTGTCGATGAGTCTATAGCTCAGAACAGAGGACCTAGGAGGAAGTAGAAATTCAGAAGTCCCTGCTTATCTGTTGACTTTGAGACTAGGGAAATGAAGAACTGCAAAGAAGCTGGGTCAGTCCTCT